GCCGATTGGTACGCAAAGACAAAGAAGTAGTCTATGTATAATTTAACAACTACCATAAATAACATAAACGCCATGATTGATTTTTTCGAACTAAATTTATTGGAACATGCGTTCTTTTAAACCAGGTTACTCAGAAATTAGAAATAAACTCAGAAGTTTTTTGTTTTTTTTCTCTAATTTAAAAAGTATTAAAGTATTAAAGTAGTTTAATGCAAAAATGCTAGTAACTTTTTAAGCTGTTTACGTGAATTATTAAAAACATGTCAATATTTGTCCTAATGAATTTTTATTTTACTATTTTACTATGATATTATAGTGTAAAAATGTGTTGATATATAATTATTGGTACGTATTTATTTTGACGTGAATTGCGTGTATGATTTCACCTTTGAAAAGCACTGTTGAGTAATATCTACAGCTTTTTTTTTCTATAACGCTAAATAAGTAACATTAAAAAAATAAGGAACTGAAAAGTTTATGTAAACAAACAAGCACTAATTATAAAACGTTGAGCTACTCAAACCAGGATTAAGTTATAAAACCAGAATTACACTTATGCACGATCTGTACGAATAACGTCAGGTTATGCTTAGCAGTGCCGAAATGTTTATAAAAATAAATTCCACGCCCAAACTACAAAGAGAAATTATGTTTAAAAAAATAAAATATAATTTAAAAAATAAAGTTTAAAATCTTTTTTTGAACTGAATAAAGACCTAATATTGTTTGCATCATAACACATAATAAAATTTCACCGCTGCACGAATAGAAATAATGCACTGATTTTTTTTTTTTTTGAATTAAAGACAATAGAAATGATTCTTAGTTTCTACAAGAGTCACTTCGACAACTGAAAACCTCGATTTCTTTGTAATTTCGTGCACTCCATATTTAAACATCCTGGTTGTGTTGAAGCTCTCGAAACGTACCATGCAGCTTCAACGTAGCAACACAAATCAGGAAGGGTAAAGGGAACACCGGGTATGCGATTCACTGCAAAGTTGCACAACTATGAACCCGTCTCTACTCACCTAAGCTAAAGATAGTTTTATGAATAAGCAATTGCAGGCCCTCTCAGATGTTTTCAGGCAACACGTGAGAGGACGGGCTGAAGGGCGGCAGAGCAATACATTACCGTACATCCCAACCCTCCCCTTTTTCCGTTCACTACGAAACATGGGCGCCCGCAGGGGGGGTCAAGGGGGGCATTTGCCCCCCCCCCACTGGATTGATTGGATACAATTTTTTTAGACAAAAATAGACAAAAATTTATTAAAGTAAAGAGAAAATAAAGAGAAAGTAACTAAGCTGATGTCCTGTCCGTTCGTTCGCCATACAGAGAGGTTGGGCTCGTTGGCTCGCTGAAATTTTATTCTAGAAGAAGAAGACCCCCCCCCCCAACAACACCTTTTTCATCTCCCAGCGGCCACGAACAAGACCATACTCCTTGATTGAAGTTTCATACAGCACGTTCGTTCGCCATACAGAGAGGTTGGGGTCGCTGGCTCGCAGAAATTTTTTTCTTGAAGAAGGAGACCCCCCCCCCCCAACAACACCTTTTTCATCTCCCAGCGGCCACGAACAAGACCATACTCCTTGATTGAAGTTTCATACAGCCGAGCCTTGCTCTAAGCGTGGGTACTATAGAGATGCTAACACTAATTAGATCATGTTTAAAACGGATCGGCGAATGAAGGTCAGTAGTCTTACCGTATTTCCTAGCCTACCAAAGTGTGCTGTTTATTAGGGAACAAACGGTGTTAGTTGTGACATTGATCAGTGTTGAAACGCCTGCAGGGACCATGGCTGTTTTCATTTGTTTAAACCTAGTTCTCATACGAAATCTTTTTCTTCTTTTTTTTTTTTTCCATTTTGAAACTCTTCACGGAGCATACGGCTGTAAAATTGAAACAATATGGTTACATGGCTTCCAGTCACTTGACTGTTGTAGCCAGGCTGTGCCGCCCACGGCGGGGTCAAGGTTTTTGCCTACTCCTGTCACGAAATAAAACCATCGTCAGCGTTTTAAAAAAAAGGTTGCACGCGGGCGGACCGCATCCTTTCGCACACCCTTCCTACGCCACTGGGTCTCGTGCGATCTTTTAAAACGCTTTCCGACCCACGGTGATCTTCAGTCATTCCTTTTCTATCTCTAGAAAAGATAACTAAAATATTTTTTTTTAAATTTTAGGGGACAGGTTAATACCATTCCCATTGGTGACATTCTAAACATTTCTTTACTGCGATTTTCAAAGGGAATATCCATGTTCGAATCATCTTATTCCATTTTTAAATCATTTGTTCTTAACTTCGCTTTCGTTCGTGGCTAGCTTGCTGGTTTCCTAGAAATATATTTGTACGGCTAAATGAGCCCATTCCCGTCAACTTTTTGAGCTGAAACTTTGAACAAACAAGTTGCCAGTGACCGCACGTCTACGTGCCAAGTTCCAGCTTGACAGGTGGACGGCAAGTAGCCCAATTAGCCGTCCGAAGAATTTCACCAGCCACCCACGAACAAAAGCGAAGTTAATAAAACGGATTGCAACATTCGTATCCGGAAATTTGATAGTAATAAATTTCGTCGACGGTAAATTGATAGACGGTAATTTGATCGAACTGACATTTGGTCGACTCTTTTTTTCCAGTGTTTACGCTAACATGTTGCTTTAAATTACTTTTTGAACGCATTATTTTCATTTACCATATGGTATAGTGACGAATAATTTAACGTGTGAACTGAAAAAAGATTTGACCAAATTTCCGTTCGATCAAATTTCCTCCGAATAATTTACCGTTGACAAAATTTCTTTCGATCAAATTTCCGGTAATCTTAAAAATTATAACATTGAAATTTTTTGAGGGAATACTAAAGCTCTTCATACGCCATTTCACTTCATAAGTTTAATGGTGTTGTAATGTGTTAGTTTACATGTATCAAAAAAGTTATAATAAAAAATAATTAAAAGCGCACCACAGCGAATTAATTGTCATCTTACACAACATTTTTATTGGCATGATATATCAGTAACAACAACAAAAATATTTAGATGTAAATGATTTATTAAATTTAGTTGAATATAGTAAAATTGTAAATTATAATTAAACAAGCATACTTATTGAATTTTTTTCTATTCTTTGATATTAGGAAAAAAAATGTATTTTTTTTTTTAGAAAACGATGTTTGTTTAAAACTTCAACTTGATAAACAAAATAAAAATACATCATTTATCGGTCAAGGTGTGTCTCGATTAAGGGATATTTATTCCTTCTGCGAAATAGCATCAGGATAAGGAGTGCAATTATAATGGTTAAGGCATCACAAAGTCTAATGCCATGGCCGATAACTGTATTTTGTAATGCATCTTCCCATGTCTTAGAAATAGATTTTTGTCCCCTTTATCAGAACAGCATAATGAAATATATATTTACATTTTCGTTTTACAAATAATTACTTTGACTGTAAAATTCCAACAACTGCAACATGAGGCATGAATATTGCTTAAAATTGTACGTGGAATATATTTTTATTTTAACATATTTCCGTGTTTGCCTCCTATATGTCAAATCTCGAATTGACACTTGAAAACGCTGAACTTTGTGAAATGTTATTATCATTAAATCAACATATAATGAATAATTTGGCTTTCACTATTTTAGTTTAAATGAATTCGAGTTGAATCTAAGCAAAACCTTGAAATGTTTTATTTTTATAAATTTTGAAAACAAGTTCTGCACATTTGAGCAGCGGAGACACCTTTGATTTCTTTTATTTTGTTTATAATAATTTTTAAGTAGTGGCCCACCCTCCCACCCCCCGCGATTACCGGGATAAAAAGTGAAATAATTTCTTTCCTAATTAAAAAACTTTAAAACTTTTTTTTGTTTGTTCGAAAAGAAAAAAATGTCCTTGAAAAAGAATTATTTTGTTTAATTTTTTTCAGGAGAAGCGAGCGCTTCCTTATCTGACCCCCCCCCCTCCCGCCCCCCCAACTGGCTGCTCTACAGTCATCAGCTTATTCCAAATCGAAAAATAGATATAAAAAATTTAACAGGGTCTCACCACATAATTTAAATCGAAATGAAATAAACGGTTGATCAAAATGATAACACTCCATCTTTGTCCTCCCAAAGTACAGTTGAACGCGTTTTATGTGATGGTACTAATCCTTGCATAATCCTTACATAACCCTTTCATGTGGGAAGAGATGTAAAAGAAAGTGCCCTCTTGTATAAGAAACTAATATCAATGTTAATTGCAAATATGCACATTTAAAAAAAAAAGAAACGCTTATAGTTAAGATGATTATAGATGATAAGGAGATGATTTACCTGAAACGTCTAGCAGTTTGATTTTTTTAAAGTAGACTAACTGTTTTATGCTTAACGTTTTTCATGACTATAAATGATGTAAGACTATTCTCGAAAATTCGTCTCTATCAATAGCCGCCCTATTGGAAACTATTGAGACGCCATCTCGTAAAGAAATGGAAAGTTCAAACCAACTATTTAAAGACAAATCGAATACAAAAAACAAAAAGCGCTCCCGTCATCTTGGAGAAGAAAAACTCGTTTTATCTCCATTGACTGATTATCTTGTGGGTTGTTTTTTTTTACCGCACACTTACACGGCGAGTGTCTTGCTACAGGAACAACGTGAAACACAAAAAAACATTTCCAGGGTTGAGGGAAATATGTACGATGAATGTAAAAAAAAAAAAAAATTTCATTTATTTGGATCAATAAAAAATATCTTATTCTTATAACTTTAAACAAACACTGGGTCCAAACTTAAAAACCTTAAGTCCACGAGTGAATTTTTGTTTGATATCTTTCTTTCACATATGAACCATCTTCATGGATCACACGTTTAATGATACGATCAAAATTATCAAATTACTTTCTAGAGTGTAGGTGAACTTATCTTAAAACTATATTTAAAAAAAAATTAGTTTGTTTCTAACACTTAAGTAATGAAGTTTCATAAATAAAAGTTATTATTTGTATGTAGATTGAAATTGTATTATTTCTTGTTCGCCTATGGCAATCCTGTATTTGATCACGACCCGGTCGATCAAAATTTATTCAAGCCGATAGACTCGTACTCATTCATTGCATTCGTGTCTTCCTCATAGACTTTGTAAGGCTGAGCATTGGATTTCTCCAAAGTTCTTTGTTCCCTTGTTTTTTCATAGCTGGTACACGCATTTTGATATGGATCTGAAATTAAACATGACAAGTATTCAGAACGGACATGATGATACCGTTTCGTCATTTCATTTATAGAGATTATATTCTATGATTAGTGATGCATGAATACACCGACAAAGAAACTAACATGTGAAGTGAAACCCAAGTTGAAAAATGTTTTTTGCATTCATTCAATGAATCAAGACGCCCGAAATGCGTTCTTCTTTTGTTGTTTTTTTAAAAAAATAAATATCAGTATTAAAAATTATAAAATTGATTATTTAAAATTTGCTAATTTGTGTACAATGATTTATTTGAATTAACTCAAATTTGAATTATATTTTTACGTATCGGCCTAAATTATTATTTTTTTTTAAATTAGTGTATGCTATGAAAGATTCATTTACTAAAAGCAACTGTTGCACCACACCACTGTGGAAAAAGGCAATCTATTTTAAACTGAGCTGCGCCGTAAAGAAAACATAATGTTACCCTTGGTAACAGCAGTTTCGTACTGACGAAAGTATTCTTTCCCACTTGTCGCGGTGTCATAGTTCGGTGGGTCACGTTTCGTCTCAATCAAGGTCCCCTTTCTTTTGCGTGCAAACATCAAGACTAGAAGGACGATACTAAAGGCGCAGGCAACTCCAAGTGCAATGCCAAGGCCGATAACTGTATTTAGTAATGGATTTTCCTGTACCTGAGAAGGAGCTTAGTAAAAAAAAATATTTTTTTTATAAATTTGTTTTACATCATCATTTCAGACTTTATTTTTTAAAATTATTTTTTGTTATTTCTGGTTTTGAGAAGTTGCCATGTGCTTTTAATATAACTAGAAATCTTTTTCATGACGTTTATTAGTAAAAATGTATCAAATGGAAAGCATATTTAATTTCTCCTAAAATTGTAAACTAATTTTCGAAAATGGCCAAATACTAGGCTCTAGAATAAACCTAAGATATATGTCTAAATGAAATAATTTCTAATGTGCAACGTCGGCCTTTAGGGTGTTCGACATGTGCCCTCGCACAACACTCCCTGGCCGAAGGGGCGCCTAAGGCGCCCAGTAAATATTTGAATTTCCTTAGTTTTTTAATTGTAAACTGTTATGGAGATGGAACAACGTACCGTAGAAAAACTAAACAGCCTAGATTAATGTAAAAAAATAATGCATATAACTGGAAACTCAAATATCACAATTAGAAATTGTTACGTAGTTTGGTATGAACATACGTTTTTATATTGAAATGTCGTGCGCAGAGGTACGAGGGAGTGATTGTTCTTTTTTTTTTCAAGATACTGCAGTTACGAAAGTGAGGCACTTGCCTTGATATAAGTACATCTTATAATATCGTAATAAGTATCTCACAATCCAAGTAGATTATCATAATACGTGAAGTTAATAAATGATGAAAATTATGTTTGCTCCAACCTGCAGTTTTATTTCTCATATTTGTAAAAGGTAGTGTGTGAATAAAATATAGTCATGTCACCATATCGAATTTGACTCATGCTTTCAGAAATTATCGTAGTAAATATCAGAAAGCACTTAATCACCACCAATACAACGCTAGATGCATATATACAGTTATAAATGATATGTAACTAAAAAACTTGTGTGGTCAACAACATACACAATCATATAAGACGTTGCAGTGGGAGGGAAGCTATTAATTGCTAGGGTCACTTTTTTTATCTAAAAATAGAGATTTGCATCTTTGAAAGATAAACTAATACTTTTTCTAATTTTGTTTAACAAAAGGTCTTAGAATGAGATCTACATAAGAATTTTATTGGCATCAAATGATGGGACAATTGTCTAAGAGCTCGATGGACACACACAGTTTTCATAACCACAAAATGGCATAAGAAAACAGACACACGAAAAAGTACAAAAGAGTTCAGAAAGTGTCGAGTGCGCGATGGAGTCTGTCAAACTCTAAAAGACCTTTGTAAATTAAACATACGTTTTCTATGCTTTTACTTTTTTCATCTACCTGGGCTACAGTCCGGAAAATTAATGTATCCAACCTCACAAGCCGCACTGCATTTACCACTGACATGGTCACATGACCTGTTGACACAATTGTTACACCGATTGGTGCAGTTGGCCCCCCACTTTCCTGGAAGACATTCTGAAAAGTACATTTTATTTTTTGCTTATTTTTTATTCAACTTAAAGAAATGGATCGAAATGGGTTAAACAGCTCGAATTATAATATGTACATTTTTTAAAATTAAAATAACCGAGACTTAGGTATACTATAAATAGAGCAAGTTATTTTTGTTTTTGATGGTTATGAAAATGGAGAATTTAATTCGTTTTTATTTTCGTAGCTGGTGATTCAAATGCTTCACATTTTCTTTTCTACTTTAATGTCATTGGAATGGGTGCATTTCGTATAACTACTTTTTTAAAATAATGATACAAATAAATGTCTATTAACTAAAAAGTTATTTTAGATTGCAAAAAAAAAAAAAAAAGTTAAATTGACTAAATGACCGAAGTATCTCAATGCTTCATTTCATTTCAAACTTTTAAGTAAAAATACTTTTTTAAAAAAATGATACAAATAAATGTCAATTAACTAAAAAGTTATTTTAGATTGCAAAAAAAAAAAAAAAGTTAAATTGACTAAATGACCGAAGTATCTCAATGCTTCATTTCATTTCAAACTTTTAAGTATGGGATCCATCAATGCAAAAATGAAATTGTAAAGATAGAGAAAAATATATAAAAGTAAAAAAATAATTTTAAAATGAGAAATACAAAGCAATTTAACAAAATAGAAGTAAAAATACAAAGAATTTTTTTTTTAAGTGTAAGAGATATTTTAAACTTTTTAATTTCTTCTAAAATCTCTCCTTACTTTGATTGCAGTCAGGAAAGTTGTCATATCCATTACAACCTTCATCACAGATTCCACTGTGTCTGTCGCATGATGTGTTACTACAATGGCTGCTGCAGGAATATCTGCAATCTCTACCCCACAACCCTGATGTGCATTCTAGAGAAAGAAATTGATTTCAATGAATTGCCTACGGAACATTCATACTTTCAAAGAGTATGAAATTTCTGACATCTTGAGGCAAAGGCCGTCCAAGAGGTCAAGAGGTCATAAGACTCACTTTTCATGAGTTAGATTCTTTTTGACATGTAATAGCTAACTTGCCAAATTGCAAATCCTATGAGAATTCCATAGTCATTTTTTTTTAAAATGCCGATAACTATTTCATTACAAGTCACCAGTTTCGCAAGAAGATCTATCAAAGCTACTCCTTGATTACTTGAAGAACCTTGTAGATGAGAACGTCAGGACCAGATGGTGCAATTCGCAAACTCTAAAAGAAAACACCTGCCAGGACAACTGCTAAGATGTGGTGGTTGAAAGCCAAGTAATTAAGATCCTCTTTCAAATGTCGGTTATAAAAGTATTCATATTTATATGTCCCTTTTCATTTGAAGTAGTGTCAAAGAATGTAGCCTTTAATTTATCTTAGATCCCCTACTCTTTCAATAAACGTGAAACAGCTGATTTGTGTGGCCTTACTGTATTGCATTGCAGCTGGGAAACACAAAGAAGCTGATGTATATCAACACCTGGAGCAATAACCGGAAGTCGATCAACCTTTTCATCCCCATAAGCATCAAGGAATAATTCTTCCATTCCAGAGCACCACCAGTTGTACCATAGATGCTTAAAATTTTAGTATTCACATGAGTTGCCCATAAAATACTTTTTTTTTTTCATTTATGACCATTCTTTCGCTTGTTACACTGCATAAACTATAATGATAAAGAAAAATTAAGTTGAAATTCAAAGGAGAAATAAAAGTGCAAATGATGGTGAATAAGATAAATATTTACAGAGTAGAGATGACAAAGCAAAGGATAGTATGAGTCAGTGAGAGTTTTCCAATTGACTCGAAAGGAAAATGTTATAGAAATAACATCAATACCTGCAAAAAAATTGGATTTGTTAGTTGTTTGTTTTTTTGTAAAGTTCTTTTGTCATTAAATAAAACAAGATAATTATTTAAGGACTTCATTTAAGCTGTGTGAATGAAATAGTAAAGCAGGGAATTTTGATGCTTGAATCAAAAGACAGGAGAATAAGATATGAACTTTGTGGCCTTTTCAGTGAACAGGACAAATAGAAGAATGACAAGTGCTCTGTTACTTGTCGTACTCCTATTTGTCCTGTTCCCAAAAGATGGCTCTACGCCAATACGTTCAAATATTATTCTCCTATCTTTTGATTCAAGCCATCACATACCATGTTTTATAATTTCATTTTTTTAAAAATCAACTTTACAACATAATTTATATATTATGTATCAACATAAAAATATTTCAAAATTGGACTCTGTGACTACAGAAATTGCATTTCACTTCATAAGTTAACATAATAAAATGTTGTATATCATGTCTTATTTCAGGAATCCTTATGGACATTAATCAAGAACATGAAATAGCTATTCCTAAAAATTTTACATAAATACCACTATCTTACCCTTACCAGTGTTGCAGATCGGTGGGTTACTGTATCCATCGCATCCCTTATCACACTTTCCGGATTGTTTGTCACAAGACATTTCTATGCAGTTGCTGCAGCTACCCATGCAGTTGAGGCCCCATGTCGTTCGAGGACATGCTAATGAGTGTTTTTAAACATGTTAAAAACAATGAAGATTGTTATAATTGAATATTGCTGAGCTTAGAAATCAAAAACATTATCTAATAAACTAATTTAAACATTTATTTTAAATAGCGTTCAAAATAAATTGTCCTTTTCAGCAAGTCCGGTGTGCGATCAAGTGGTAACGGACCGTCTCTTTGGCCGCCCACTTCCACGAAGAAAAAACAACAAAATTTAAAGTTCTTAGAAAAAGCCACCACTCCATATCAAAAGAAAAAAAAATGCACCAACCTGGGCGAACCACCCCATCAAAACATCCCCCTTCTACGCCACTAAATATGATTCGATCTCTTATAAGGTGGAGCCCAGCCTCTTACAACCTTGGCTAGCACATCACAGACAATGAGCGTCAGGCGGGCATCGTCATACATTCAACTATATTAACACAGGTTTGAGGTTTTACCCTGTGAAAAACACTCCTTCAGCATTGGAGGATTCAGCCTCTTTCGTGTTCTACTGTTTCAGAGTCCAGGATTTACAGTCGGCAGTTAGAATCCCTACGTGAGTCGAGTCTATGTAGGTAACTTCGCTTCCGACAATTCCTTGTTCGCATCTGCGTATTGAGGCTTAGTTCACTTCGTGCCACTTTAGTTTCCACCAGGGGTCAATCTCTCCGCTTGAACTTTCATGCCGTTTTACCCACCGCCGAGCCGTTAAGCCACTCTTTGAGAATTGCCACTGATGCTGGGCCAGGTTATACCTTGCCCCCCCCCCCTCCCCCCGGATATTAGAAGTGTACAATATTTAACAAATGGAAAATATAACAGTTTGACATTTTATTGGGGGCGTGGGGGGGGGTTGTTGTCAGCTTCGTAAGGTAAGTTAAGGGAGAACGTTAGATGATTTAGATCGTATAACTACCAACAAAATTGTTGTAAAATTAACCCTTTAAAAGATTCAGTCACAAATATGAAAGTCATAGTAATTGATAATCTGGACGAGGGTAAACTCCGGCCTGCCACACAGGGAGCGCCAAAATGTTGTGTTATCTCCCCTGACCGGTAAACGATGAATACCAGTTATGACGAGAGCACAAGCGTCAAATCTCCATTTACTAAATTTGCAGACGATCCTGCAATCGTTCGCATAATATTATAAATCGGAAGGGGAACATTTATACCACAATCTACTTACAAGCTTTATTCGTTTTTTTGTGATAAGATTTTCTTCAGGTCATTGTCTCTAAAAGCATACAAATAGGTGTCTGTTTTCGGAGGTGTAATCCCCCCAAATCTAGTTCAAGCTCCCTCGAGGGGAAAAAAACAATTTTATTGAGCAAGTAGAGGGATATAAGTTCTAGGCGTCGTCATAAATATTAAGGTAACGGGGCATGACAACACCGTAATTCCCTTTAACCAATCAACCTATGACTAATTTTTGTTTTTGCTAAACTAACAAATTATTAACATATTCTACACTACATCAATTACGAAGGACTATAGGAATTCAGTATTATTTGCTCGTTTACACTCAAACACCAATTTTACTGATTTTTAAATAAAATCAAGTAACATTACATAAACATAACTTGACTTGAAGAACTACTGAAAGTAAAATGCATTGTAAACCAAAAATAAAGAAATAAATAACATAAAATAATGATGATTTAAGCCCCAAAATAACTGGCAGTGAAGCGAGAAGAGTTTTATCGCATATGACGGCTGATTTTTGCGCTCGAGAAACACCTTAGGTGTCTCGTGTTTAATAGGTGTTAAGGACTTGTATCTTTGTTGTCATTGTGTGCTGTTTGGAGAGTATTTGGGTTGACGTAGCAAAGAAATGCTTATTATTTTGTAACGTATTTTGGGTAAAGGGAGATGGCGTGTTATTGTGAAGCGTGTTGTGATTGAGTAATGGAAGCAGTTGACAAAGTCGTTTGGTTGTGTTAATAAAGCTACTTTATTTTAAGAAACAATGGATTGCTCAGCTACTGTAACCCCTAGACAAACGAAGTTCACGAGCCTTGGTAAGATACCAGTTGGTAAAAATTTGCAATAGATTTAAAATGTTGTCTGGGTAAGAATATGTATCTATCTCATGTAAATGAATACTAACAATGTATTCATGAACATTTTCTTTCATTCCGATCAATTCGAAGAATTGTACTTAATGTTATCTCAATTATTTCAAGTTAACATCAGTGGGGTAGCTAAAGTCAATGTCACCTTGGATATTAAAAGAAATTTGCAATCCCTTACACGAAAAAAAAGCAACATCTTTGAAGTTGGCCGAACTATTACTTGCATGTATTATATAAATATATTTATTTTTTAAATAAACATTAATACTTACGAACTGTACAAAATGGTGGGTCATTATATCCATTACATCCTTTATCACATACCCCAGTCCGACTGTTACACGATTGGACATAACATTGTGTGCTGCAATTTTGATGGCAGTTTATACCCCATTGGTTTGATTCACATTCTGAAAAAAAAATTAAAAAAAAAAAGTTTATAGATTTTGTTGAACTTTTTTTCTTTTCTTTCATTATTGTTCTCCTTTGGGTCTTGATTAGATCATCCAGCGAAATTGTTAACCCTCTAATTTTTTGTAGGTAAGTTTGTTTATTCGATGGTAATATCAATTCTTTTATTTAAACCCGTTGGTATCTTGATTAAAACACTAAATAAAACGTCTTTGTATTTCTGTATTCCCTTTCGAAAGCGCATTCAGATCCATATCACCTGGAAAGTAAGGCTGCTCACAAGTTGAGAAACTGATTTAATGCTTATATTAAGCTTGCTCTCTTACTGCATAACAGTTACGAAGTTACGAGGGATTATTGCCCTCGGCCAATATGTGTCGGCTTTAATTTAAATTTCTGAAAGATCTGGTTGATATAATCGTTTTATTATCGCTTTTTTCATTTAAAAATAATTTGTTTTAATCTTGACTTGAATGATTTAAAATTATTTGTTTTGAGTTGACTTCTTTGTTATAATACTAAATTGAATGTGATGTAGTCATTAATCACATCATACCTTTTCACTTCCTTGGAGAAGTTTTTTTCTAAACCCACTAGCACAATAGTACATCTTATGTTTTCGATTAGAACTTTCTCTACGCAAAGACATTAGCGTGACTTTAAATTTACATGCACATAGATGTTATGAAATTTAATAATCCCCCTATTAAAACTTTCTGTAAAGGTAAATTTTAATATTCAAAACATAAATGTGTACAGTGCATCAGATCAATAATTATAATAAGTGGATTTTTAAATCATACTTTCAACATATAACATTAATATATATATATATATCTTATATATATATATTATATATAATATGTATATTTCCTGAATAAGAATTTGTTTTAATTACCGGACATCTTTAAAGGCAATTTTGCTTCTAAAATTACCTATATCGCATGTTGGTGGGCTACTGAATCCAATGCAACTTTGACATAAGCCATTCTCAACATCACAGGATGTGCCACAACTCGGGTTACATTTATTCTTGCATTCAAGACCCCATGTTCCAGGAGCACATTCTAGAAATAAGAAAATAATGTGGTGCCATTTTAGATAGTGGCTAAAGCAGCCATTTTTATGTTCCGTTGTTAAAAGTCACAGTTATTTTTACGCCTTTGAAAAATAATAGATTTGATCAATATTTCTCTGGTAAAAAATAGACGAAGATTGTCTCTTTAACTCCTTTTTTTTTATTGTTAAGAAGCAAAATAGTGAAGATCACATGGAGATATCTGTAAAATGTGAGGACTTTGACTCAAGGGTTGACTTTGCTTATTAAATACTAATGTTTAGAAAGTTGTGTTTTTTGTGATTTTCTAGAGTAGTTTCCCCTTTATTATAGAAGGGACATTCCAGTAATATCATGAAAAATTCAAGCATTAAAGCTGTCATTAGCATAAAAGCCAAAAATGATGACGAAGCTCTGCCTAGAAAGAAAATATCATTGAGAATCATGTTCGATGTGAAAAGGGGTGATATTATTTTTCCCAATATTTCATTACAATAAATATTATGTTTAAACATTATGTACACAAAGATGGAAGGCGTATTTTTTGTATTTATAAATAGTATATGTCTTGTGCTGTATTTCATTTTAAAAGGGCAAAGTCCCCCAACTTTAAAAACATGATTCATATACCCACTTTATACATTAGCACGTTTGTGTTAGTTTAAAGATGAGTAAGCATGTTGAAATTTATTCATAAAGACAAAAGATAGGCAAAATAACTTCGTTTTATTTATATCATTGAATATTTTAAGCCTTAGCATTGATTAAAATTTGTTTTAAATTAATCATCTTGTATTAATTCTTACCCCCAAACGCCTGCACTTCACATAAAGTTAGAACTTGTATGTTAGAATCCACCCGTATCCCATTAATAAGCACGTGTCTCTGAGCGTCTGGCACAGTTACCGTGTAGGTCAACAATGCTGTATCACCCGCATCTCGGTAGGAAAACACCGGGCTGTAGTTGGCATTGAAAGTTTGGAGACCAAAATGCATCAACCTTTCCGGGCAGCATGGGACGTCTGAATGATCATGCATAGAAAATTAAGAGGAGGGAAAATAATAAAAATAAAAACATTGTCATTACAAAACCATATTAAGTTTTTGTCATTATTTGGATTGGTTAAAATGATTTATTTGTTCTCTTTTCATTCAAACGTTGTTTGGGCCATTCTCATTTTGTTTTGTGATTCATCGAAGTCAAAACACAGCACTGGAATTTTGTTGTTGTTGTTCGTTCGTCCGTCAAATTGACAAGGACAATCTAGTCTGCCTAGGTGGTTATTCAGTAGTATTCGTTCTCGAAAAAGTATCTGAGCAGGCAGGGGGGATAGCTTCGGAAGTCCGTGGGATGAGGCTGCTTTTTCAGGCCAGTCTGTGTCTCTCGGCCGTCATTATCCTCCTGGCTTCATGAGCTTGGAGCCCCTTCTTGAAAGCTGATCCCTACTTGGCTCTTTTCTGGGCTTTCTGCAACAATTCAATATTGTTGACGTTGAAGGACTTCAGTGATGCTTTCAAGGTGTCTTTGTATTGCTTTGACCTCCTTTTGAGCGCTTGCCTAACGTGAGTTCCCGAAGAATAGCTGTGTTAGGTTCGCTCTAGGAAGGTACTCCATGAAAAGGCACTTTGTATTGCCGAGGTGTTTCCTTAGTCAGGTTGTGTGAAAGTGGTTTAGTTTATTTTCGTGACACTGATAATCTGTCCAAGTTTTACATCGGAATTGCGATTTTGAGAGGACTGCTGCGCTATATACCTTGATCTTCTTTCCCAGTCTGATGCCTCTCCTGTCCCAAACAGTGCTGCGGAGTCTGCCAAATATTGCACTCACTTTAGCAAGTCTGGCATTTAATTGGTCATCCATGATGACAGATCATGACAGGACGTTTCCCAAATAGGTTAATTTGTTCACCGGGTTTAGACGCTGTCTGTTGGTGATGTTGGGTTCAACGTAGGGCCTTCTGGGAGCTGGCTGATACATCCCTTCAGTTTTCTTTGCACTGATTGTGAAGCCAAAGTTGTTACAGGCCCCAGCAAAGATATCAACGCTGTGTTGCATGTCGTCATCTGAGGCGGCGATGAGGGCACAGTCTTCCGGAAACAGAAGCTCATTGATTTTGTTATTTTTGACCTTGGTCTTTGCTTGAAGCCTCCTAAGGTTGAAGACTGATTCCCCAATGCGGAATAGGTTTGGCCAGCCCGTGGGGGAGTCCTTGAACGCATCAGAGAGCATTGCAGAATACATGCTGCCAGGAAACAGCTTTGATTTTCAACGTTTGTAACAAGGGATGCGTGAGAAGACTGACCGTTGTCCTTAACTCGGGCCATCCTGATATCACGCAGCTGACGGATGATGTTGGTGCACTTGTCTGGGCATCCATTCTCTTTTATGATTTTCCACTGGCCATCTTTGCTTACCGTGTTAAAAGCCTTATTCAGGTGAATGAATGTGTAATACAGGTCCGTATTTTGCTTCTTGCATTTCTCTTGGAGATGTTTAACAGCAAACATTGCATTGAAAGTCCTGCGTTCTTTACAGAAACCGCATTGACTTTCTGGTAGGAGACCTAGCTCCAGATGTGGATTTGTGCGGTTTAGGAGGGCTCGGAGAGAGTTTAGGACAGAGAGAGGTTGAATCCGCGCAACTCTTCCTCACTTTAAACAAAAGTCACCCACGCAAGTCGTCAGTCACCGGACGACTGGATGGTCATCGTCGAACTTCGACGGACGAACAATAATAATAGAATGACTCGGGCGAAGATCGTGCGTGCGATGGGCAGAGAGTGTTTTACAATGGTCAAATATTTAGCATACCTATTAATACAAAGTGTGACCTATTGAAAACCTTGTCACGAGAAAAAATTTAATGAATTACAGCAAAAAATTGACCCCCCAATAATGTACTTTTCAGTGAGCTGAAATTCCAAGTGTGCCATCTGAAATATTTTAGAAAGAATTAACCATTACATAAACAGCCTCAATCAATATGCTAGGGATATGCTTCCATGGGCCCACGTTCTGGAACCAGCTCCCCTTCCATATACGTCATAGTGAAACCTCGTCCATTTTCAAAAAGTCCCTTAAAACTCATCTGTTTAGGTCCGCCTATGACCTGTGATGCACCCTCCTTGCCCTACCTCATTTTCTGTTTCGGGTTGATCCTGAAGTGTCAAAGTGTCCTCGTTTTATAGCCATTTTCATTGTTTCTATAGAATAGTAGTTACTATCCTAGTGTCTCATTTGTATTTACTTAGTTTACATGTTTTAATAATTGTAAAGCGCTTAGAGCTTTATGATAAGCGCTATATAAAAATGCCTAAATAAATAAATAAATAAATATATTCTCAGATTTTCATCAAAATTTAATAATTTAACCACAACGTATGATTAACAAGCTAAATGTTTAGAAGTAAATTTTAAAAAAAGTGTGAATTCTAATATTTTATAGCAGAAATATCGCAAAATTTAAAGTTAAATGTTCATATATCATTTGGGAAATATTGTAGGAAGGTATGTGGAACCTTGAAATATAAAGACAGGACATTTAAAAAATAGAGGCTCAGAAACTTCCTCATCAAAAAGGGCCAATGGAAAACAACAATGAAATATAGCCACTTAAATTTGACTGTTAATTTTATGTTAACTTTTTAGGCATAAATGTTTAAAAGAGTCTCGAGGGGACGCACTTAACTTTTAAAAGAGGACATGCTCGATAATTCTTGACGTTAAAACACATGTGGCTAACTCCCGTTAAAATTTGCAATAAAAGTTTTTCATTACAAGCCAGAATAGACTTACGAAATAAGAAAGTTTTTTTGGCGATTTCGGCTTAAAGGAAAGCAAATCTATAAATTTTGCTAGAAATTTAAAATTACTTCTCCACAACAGAAATTAATATGACTTAAGTTGTTGTTGTTGTTTTTTTTTACTACGCTGCGCTAACTTCTTCGGACATTCTGCGTTAATCCTAATATAAACAATGGGTGCAATCAGTGTCACTACTCGATCGATTCCCCCCGGACAGCACTGCGGATACGTCATTTTCACTTTTTGTTTAGTCATGGCTTGATATTATTTCAGAAGTGTGAAATGGTCAAAGAATGGTTATGTTGAAAAAATTAATTTAAAAAAAAAATATATATATTGTAATAAATCCAACACTGGTGTGCAACGCTTCCATTACCCTTTAATAGAAAGGTTGGAAATATATATCTTTGTTTTTTCAGGTTTTTCCGTTTACGCGGGAGAATGGGGTGGGAAAAATCGTGGCTCAGTCTCAGCTACGCCTCTGGATGTGTGGTAGTATCATCATTTTTAGATTACAATTTTGGGCAGCAGCAAGACTGTTAAGGACTTTCAGGGAAAAGTGCAAGGCCAGACAGTCCATTTAATCTCGAGAGGATTAAAACTGACTGCAACAGCAGCATTCGATATTAATACTAAACATAATCAGTGCTTTAAGTAGAACAATAAAAAAAAATTCTTTAAAACCTATGCGGTCAGCTCAGCTTACAATGGATACCAGGACATGAGAATAGGTCAGAAATGAAAAGGCCAAAAAGCAAAACAGGGAGCATTCAACAGCCAAACATACCTACAACGCTCAACACTGCGAAGTAGATTGTCAGAGCTGACAAAAAAAAGAAGAGTGATTAAATGGATGGGACATTGGCTCAACAGGAGGATGTGTTTTCACATACGTGCCCAGCCAAGTTTCTAAAGATCCAATCTAAAGTCTCAAAAGACACTAACGGGTCATAGCTTTCAACAGCGCACATGACCTGTGATTAAATTGAATTAAGTGTAATATGTTCTCTTGGTTAAAATATGTATTAATGTATCTGCTAAAAAATGATTATGTACAAATGTAATCAAACCATATTACCGTACATTTGGATAATTATAATCATGATATGAAAGCTAAAAAAAGCCATTGGAACTTGTAAAAAAACAAAAATTAAAAAAAGAAAATTATCAACCGTTTTATAAGAGGTACATATCAATAGAACTCAAAATTGATGCTTACATTATTGATCAAACGTGTCTTAATGATAAACAGCTTTTGCACTTTCATACAATGTATTTAAGCTACGGGTACATTTCCTTCATCCATCTGTTCGTCTGGACATCGCCCCAGGCTTCATTGCTCCCCCTCTTATCCTTCACCTCGTGAAAACTAGAGTTGCATACCTTTTATGGGAAATTACATTCAGTGACTTTTTGACCCAATTACTTTGTTCTGGATCTATTTTGAGTTAGCCAAATTTAAGTAGGTCATGATTTCAAAATACTTTTATTTAAACAAAGATGTTTAACAAAACCTACCTGCACTGTCAAATCTATTGTATAGAACAATTCTGTTGACTGCGTGGTTCTCACGAAATGTTACAGTCCAGTTCGGAGGCGAATCGCCAACTCCAGCAGTATGAGTGCATGTGTTCATTCGAATATTACCGCTTGTGTTGCCATCAACTGCATTGGATGCTTGACTTAGTCTAAGTCCTTCTAATGTATATGTGGAGCTTTGTGTAGCACTCTGCTTCAATGCAATATTTCGACCTATTGTTATGGTGGAAGAAACAAGGAAAGAAAAACATAACAAACTATTACTATAACATCTATACCATTTGTTTAATTTATCATTTTTACTTTATTTATCTTACACTAAATCAATTTTAGGCATAGGAGACATAAACATATTTTTTTTTAAGTACTACTGTTTTGTTGATTTTTTTTTTTTTAACATTTTAAAATGTTCTTTGCACAATTTATTTTTCAAGAATCGAAAAAAAAATAATGCGCATTAAAATTATAGTCTTCTTTTTCCGCGGCGTTCCAAAGTGATCGAATTTTTAGTAAAAAATCATGAGCAAAAATAAGTGATAGAGCTTAGATTTGTTTCAAAGCCACAAGGCAACAGTGGATAACATTAAAAAAATTATAACACAAATTTGATTACATTTTGAAGGAATTTCCTCTTCATTTTTCGATGATTGATAAATTGCGTAAATATACAGAGTATCTTGTTTTTGACACTGCGAATGCACTTACCTCCACTAATATAAAGAGAACACAGCGACTTGACACTCTGTCCTCTGATGATCACCTGCATTACATCTACTGTCATTTGACAACTGATGTCCACTGTTTTCGTGTCTATCACATAGATGCGTTGACTGTTGCAAGGCGTTTCTGTTAAGCTGCCACCGCTCGTTTTGAAGGAAACCATAAATGTCCCAGGGTAAGCTACGCGTGAAAAAATATGCACATCAGCTTGTTTGTTCAGCATTGATATTGCAATAAAAAAAAAAGTCCAAGAACTTGAAAGGCTTTGTGCTTAATTATATTATTGAATCATTTGAACAATTATCAAGAATTAAAAACAACCTTTACTTTTTTATTTATATAAATCCTGTATATGTATTTATAATTCCATTTACGTAATGTACGTCACTTTTCATTTATTGAGAAGCGTTTAGGTAAATGGGTAAAATTCTGTCGAAAACGCGTTTTATATGCCTTCATTGGCCCCTTCAAAAATACATTTTTTTACTGCATACCCAAAATACGTCACAAATACCTGGTAATAACAACAGCTACACAATTAATCTCCACACCAAAGCATGCACACATTTAACAAAACATTCCCACCCCACTTCCTTAAAAAATGGGGAAAAAAGTGATTGTGGGGCTGAAGTGGGGACGGGGCTAAAAATTTGAATTTTCATTAAGAACATGTATATGTGCCAAGTTTAAGCTCGATAGGATAACAGGAAATGGGTCAATTAGCTTTCTCTTTGAAAATGGGATAAACTTATCTTTGTTGTTTGAGGGTGGAAGTGGGGCTGAAAATATGAGAGAATATTTTGTCATATGTTATGATAAATTCTAGCTCGATATACTAACTGCAAGTGGGTCATTTAGCCTTCCGAAGATTTTGCCACAAACACACAAATAAAAGCGAAGTTCATATAAATGATTTCAAAATAAATAAAAGCAACTAGTTTTCATGTAACAGTTTTTATTTGTGTTTATTTAAACGATTTTAATCCTACCGCGTGTTTTAAAAAAACGTTTTAAAATTTATCAAGTTATACAAAATCACACGTACCATTATCCTTGGCAGCGAGTCTCAACCATGAGAAAGGGTAGGTAATATTCCATGCTACAACAACAGATTGTAGATAGATGTCTTGATTACAGGTAGAGTCATCTCTGTCAGTGATCCATGTGTTAGATGTTTGTAACGGGGAGCTGGTTATTGTAGTAGACGGCACACTGGTTAAATCCTCTGTAACAAAAAAAATATTGAATTTTCCATAAAAATCTGGTTAAAAAGAATCATTTTATACTAACCATCTCCTCTTCTTCTTTACCCTTCTAGCTGTGAGGCGTCGCAGTGCTGTATAGTTTTCAATCTTTCCCAAACGTGTGAGGCTTGCTGAAGAATTACGTCGGCAAATTTTATGTTGTCAATCAAGTTTCAGCGTTATCTTCCTCCTGGCATTTAGGCTACTGATGGACCCAATGCGTAACGATCTTCGAATTTAAGGTTTTAAATTTCTCTACGTATCAGAAAAGACTAACAGGCTCAAGATCATGCTGAATGACATCGTACAATATAACTCATGCTAGACCTAGCTTACGCCTAGTGCTGTGCGGCTACCGTGATAATAAGTTGCATTCCTGCTCATTTAAGAGTTTATGAAATGAGTTCCATATTCTATTTGAAATTGAGTACACTCTAAGAAAAGGGTAATGTTGTATTTTAGCGTCGGTAATTAAACAAATTTAAAAATTGTTAAAAAATAATTAAACCATATAAAACAATGTTAAGGTTTATCCCGAGATACAATAGTGAAAACGCATGTTCGTGTATCCATAATTGTCAGCCAAAGTGATGAAGAACTGTGAAAATAAGTCTACATCACCAAAGTAATAACGATAAGCAAACTCGTGCAAATATGACGAAAATAGAGCAGGACTAGTCCCCGCACTGTCTGTTCACTTAGGGCTTAGTCGGCATCCACATATTCTAAATGCTCTGTGTGTGGACTTCTGTATCGTTTGGGTCAACGAAGTTGTGTTGATGGACAACAACTGAATGTTGATATATTCCACCTCATATCCTGTCGACTTGCGCATAACTTGGCATATGCTGCCCAACCGTCAGAATTGATGGGAGAAACTGGCAAAATATGCTGCTGTATGCAAGCCTGCAAAGTTGCTGCATTTCTGTTTGGGACTTCACTAGAAATACAGAACTTCGGCAATGAATATTTATTTATTTGAAAAATATTTTTTTTTTAAATACCAACGAATTTTTTTTTTTTTTCAATTACCGACGCTAAAATGCAACATTACCAAGAACAGTTAAGTCATGAAAGCGTAACGAAACGTACCCTTGATTAAAAAAAATCATAATTACCCTTAAATTATCTAAATTCTTACAAAATTTATATTTTAATGTTAAAATGTATTAATCTAAACTGTGGGCAAATATCTTAGAACAAATGTTGAATGTTAAAAAATGCATATATTTATCGATATAGATCAAAAGGTATTTTACAAAATGTCATTAAATTGCCATGTTGATAACTCGTTTATAAAAAAGATATTCTGTTAAAACTTTTCTTACATTAGGCATAGTGTTATATCTTTATAAGGTAAAGTATATAAAAATATTTAGTTGCGCCCTTCCACTAGACTGTTAGGACCTTAACAACGTCTATTAAGATTTACTGTGTTAACTCCTGCACTATATACAATCAGACAGGTGTAACTGTCTGAAACTTCAGTCCGTTTATTTTAGTCTCATCTTTACCAAAGAACTATTTGATGTTTTGACTTTCACCGGATTTTAACTTCCTTGTAAGTAATTATACAGCCTCTATAAGTAAAATATTTTACTGGTTCCCGTGCTCATCTAAAAAGCTTCCGTAATATGATACACAATTCTTAGTAAATGTACTGATATTTGGTCTAGAGTTACCACCAGGATTTACTTTTAGTTCCCATTTTCCTCAATGTAAATAAAGGGGAGAGGCTGCAATCGGGTCAGGGTAGAAGGAAAGGGTTATACAAAGAGTGGGAAAACCTGAAAACAGGACGCATGCATTTCTCAGGTTTTTCCATTATTTGTTTAACTTAATTTTTTTTTTTACAACTCCATACAGTTCGCTTTAATGCGTAGTTTACACAATTCCACACAACGCTTTCTCTACACTATTTTGAAAAGCTAATAAAGAAAACATTTTTTGGAAATAATACCATTTTCATGTTTATAAAAATTGAAATCTTTTTTAGAAACGTTGATTTCCGGGATTAGAAGAAAAAAAATTGCTACATTATCCTGATAAAACCTATAGAGTAAAACAAAACTTTTACAGTAAAACAAAACCTTTACAGTTAAATTTCGGAATGAAACAAACCACCACATGATGTCAAGGAAGTATCTTTTTCCTGGAAGTTTGAAGTATACTGACCAATGACATTCTAGGGTCGGCACACCCCGGAAAGAGGGCAAATGTGTACATGACCCTTGATACTTTTAAAATTTGGGAACAACATTAAACCAGATGTGGTAATCGATTTGTTTCCCTACTCCCTAATATTAAAAAAGACAATTATTGTTTACTTTTAATTTCACATAGTGGTTGTTTTTTTTTTTGCATTTTTTAAAAATATTTTGCATAGGTGTCAATAATTCGACTACAAAATATGAACAGTAAATAAATATAGCTTATGCAACTGAGTGATAGGCCTAGAAAATGTTCAAGATATATAAATAAAAACAACTCACGATATTGACATCCTACGCCAAACCATCCTCTCATACATTTAGTGTTGCCTGTGCATTGACCAGTAGCGGAGTCGCATATGTCATTTTCACAGTGACATTTGAATTCACAATTCGGGCCAAACCATCCTGGCGTTGAGCAACCTGTGGAAAAAGCAAAAGATTTGAGATTTTAATTTTTTTTTTCAATATCAGTTTTCTCCTAAGGATAAAAGAAACGTTATCCCTATTTTTGAAACGGCAGTGAACGAATAGATGTGTGTATTACCAGCGATCCGCAAGAAAAGAAGTGGAACTTAGAATCACGTCGTAAGCAAACGAGAAACAGTCTTTTCTACAAATTAAAATGTAACTATCTTTTCATAAAATACCTACCACTTTTATATTTGTAACATAGCTGACACGCATACAAAGAGATTTATGATCTATATTACCTTTGTAATAAAGAGACGGCTGTTTTAAGGAATTAGATACTTTCAGTTCATTTTATTCAAAACTCACAAATATTTGAAAACCGGAAAAATAAGAGTGTTGTGGAATGAATCATGTTATAGGAAAAATACATATTTTCAAAATAAAAGCATTTAAAGTTTAAATATCTGACACCGTTTCAAAGCTTGCCCCTAGGTGCGTTATTTCCAGAAATGTTGTAGGAAAGGTATTCTTGTAGGCGTAAATCTTGCAAGCTTCAAATAACGCATGAAAGATAACAATCACTGAGGAAATTTTGTAAGAATATATACCAAATAGTTAAATAGTGTTTAATATATGTGTTTTTTAAGTTGTATTTTTTAAATTTTCTTATGTAATACAAATTAATGTTTAAGCATATTAGGAAGGTAAAGATGTAATATTAAAGACTAAATAAAAAAATGACCTTATTTAATCCTGACGCACGCATTATCAATTCCTTGTGCCAATTTTTTTTTTAATGAAGTTAAAATATTTATATAAAATTTAGTTATCCAAATTTAAAAAAAAAAAATGCTTACCTTGAGAATTCACCCAAGACAACTCATAAATCATCAATATTAAGATAATGAGTAAAGGCAGGTTATACATGTCGAAAATCTTTAGAAACTTTGTTGAAAGCACACTTTAAAAAAATTTTGGTCCGATTCGAACAAAGTTCACTAGGGTGTTATACCAACTATGACCAAGCTTGATGTGACATACCGTGTGTTTCTAGAAAGGATTCCACCTAGAAATTAGATACAATCATATTTCAAAATGTAGTTTCTATTAAATGTGTGTGTAAATATATATATGTATATATATATATATAT